TTCGCGTCACTCCGCATGCATGTACCTTATAAGAAATAGACTAACACAATTGCGTTTTCTCCCTTGTCTGGCGCGTTCCCGGCTGTCACCTTGATCACATCCGGAGGAGTAGGGACGACTTCCAGAAATTAGCAATAGTTGGCTATTGCAGCGCGTACAATTGTCACGAAAAAGCTGGTGGTAGTGCCTCATTTCACAAGTAAGAATTTTTAAATATTTTTATTTTTGACACTGAGATTGCTTTTTTATACTTAGCATGTTTTTCAAGCATATTTAACGTTCTAAATATTTATAAAGCTGTTGCATGCTTTCAGGCTTGTATATATTTTTAGCTTTTCCTATGATGTAAGCGAATTTGTAACTTCTTCTTTTAGAAAATAATATTTTAAATCTGAACTAACAGAAAAATTCAACCAAGTAATTTTTCTCTTACAATTACTAAAACTATAACTAATACTAAACTATAGCTAATACTAAAATGCCTAAAAATGAATTTTTGAAAGTTTTTCTTTAAAATTTATAATTTTTTGCTGCTTTTTTAAATTATAGGTAAATTTTAATTCCTAGCATTCTAACTAATCAAAATAAGAATATTAAGAACGAAAAGTATACATCTTATATAGAGCTGGTTTTGTTGTTAAAAGCTTAGCTTATAAAGTAAAATGTAATATCTGTTTCTCAGCTTTAGTTTCAACAGAACCATATGATGGTTTGCTAGGTTTCAAATATTATAAATCTGGATGTAAAGGTTTGACTTCTCCTTCCAGTGACGTCCGAATGATCTGCAAAAATGCAGAAATAATTTTTAGGCAGACTGAAAAGGAGTTTAAATTGAATTAAAAAAATATTATAAATTTCATGATTCTAAAAGTCTTAAAAAGCGTAGGAACACATATATTTCCTTCTCTTCAAGACCACATTTATGATGTTGAGCCAGATAAAAACCACCTGATTAAATTAATTAAAGCAGTGATATTTCAATATTTAAAAATCAGAATGCATCATGCAGTTGCATGTTACAATGAATCTAAACAGAGAGAAAATATTCGAAGCAGATTTACTAAATTAATTTTATTTAAGCATCAATAAACCATATTATCTGTTTCTCTTCCTCTCTCTCTATAAATATATATATATATAGGTGTGTGTATTTACATTAATGGATAAATAGATATAATCTTGTTTTCACAAATATTTGAAATAAAAAGTGAAGTAAGCGAATTTTTCAATGCAACAAATATCCTAAATTGTTTACTTTCATACATATGTATTTATGGATGTATAGTCATTCTGCTTAAAGTATTTACAGGTATATAAAATTACAAGGTTACTTTTAGGCGCATTAATAAAAATTTAAGATTGGACATATAATATCTTGTATTTTAATAGTAATTATTTTTTTAATTTATTTCTAGTTCCGCATAAGATTTTTTTATTTACTGCGAATTTTTTTTTAAAAAATTTTTCATTACACTCAGAAAAGTTTATGCTCCGAAATTTTATGAGTTATTAATATTGTCATAAATGATCATCTTTTAATACTATGATAATGAATTTAGAAAACAGAAAAAATAAATAAAACAATCCTTGGTTTCTATACAACATTTGAAATGATAAATATTTGCTAACTACTGCCTGAAAATGTTTCATAAAATTAAAAACAAATTACCAAATCTTGTTTAATTTTACTTTATTTGTTTCATAGCACCATCATCTATGCTATCAATCTTACTTTATTTGTAGGCTTAATTTGTAAGTAAATTCACAAATTTTATGTTTAGAGTTTTTACCGTTTTATCAAAGTAATGAATGTTTATACAAGAATTACGCTTATGCTCAAAATGCAGTTAAAAAAATGCTCAAAATGCACTAAAAAGTGGTTTCATGAGATATATAAAATCTTATTAGCAAAAACTGTGATTTCTATTATCTCATCATTTATACAACGTATCACATTTAATAATTAAAAAGAGTTATGTGATACAAACGCCATATGTTTCAATGTTACGATAAACTAAATCGTCCCTACTCTCTCTTCCCGACATGTGTGTGACGCACGCCCCGCCCACTGGGTTAGTCTATTTCTTATAAGGTCCATGTCCGCATGCGCGTGACGTAGGCAGGACAAGTCTTTTTGCTGAGAGGTAAGGTAGGTATGTAGTTCACGTGTGGTATACGCGATATTCTTTAGTTTTGTTGCGTAGCGTTTTTTCAGCTGTGTTGCCACTATTAAAGTTCCAACCCTCGTATAATTTGAACCAAGATATCAATCATCGAATCCGAGTTAATTTATTTCCTTATTTTTTCTTATTAGAGAGATTTGTAAAAAGATACGCTAAGGTAAAGGCGAAAATTTTTGCAATATTTTTAAAGAATAAATTTTAAAAATATTTTTGCTTCATGAACTGAAATTTTTACGAATAATTTTTACACACTAAATAAGTACAAAAAAAGAAAGAGCTGGGGGATCTCTGAGATTAAAAACTCGGGTCGAACTACCAATGTTTAGTGACTTTTCCGCTTGATCATAAGACCTTTTGAAATTAGGCTGAACTATATATTAAAGAAAATAGAAAATACAGCCCACGTAAGAACAAAAGTGGGCTGAATTAGAGATTTACATGTTTGGTGAATGAGTTAAACTTATCTGTATGCCATTACGAAATATTAGGGACGTACCATAAAAGTATCAGTGAAGAAGGCAAGGGCAATTTAAATCATTGTAATCTAAATGTATAAAATTATCAATATCTGCTATTAATTTCAATACTGCTGAAAAAATTAGAAATGAATTTTATTATAAATCACATGAACATCTTGCATTATAAATTACAACAGTTCGAAATATTATTAGAGTGATTTAGAGACCATCTTTGTTAACGAATAATTTCAAATAATTAATTTTACAAATAATTTAGTCTAAAACTAGGTTAGAAAATAAGCTGCATGCTGAAGATTAAGCTTTAACAAGGTGTTGGAAATATCTTCTGTTCGCTAGAGTTATATACAGTTCAACAATATGTGAAAAAGGAATGGATAAAAAGGGAACTGAAAATCCCAAGACATGAATAAAAGGGAGTTCTTTTTTTTTTTTTTTTTTTTTTTTTTTTTTTATTAAAAATTTTTGCAGACGCTCATAACTATCAATTTATTAATTAAATGTGTATTAGAAATTAAATGCATGCCAAAGTACATCAGGTAGAGTAACTGGAAAACAGAATAAATATTTAAACGTTTCTAGTATTAAAATATGGACTTTTTGTAAGAAAGTTAAATAAGTTAAATAACCTTAAAACAACTTCAATGGCTAAAAATGAAACGCTTAGTACGGCAGTATATTGCAATAATATTAGTGTGAATTTAGAACCACTTAAGAAATCCAATTTTTAGATTTAATAAAGAGAATTGTTTAAATTAAATTAGAACTGTTTACCTAAAATGGTGAATTTGAAAGTTAAAACCATTCTGCTATCTAAGAAGATTTGCTAATATTTATCTAGACAAGAAACTTGTTCAAGGTGCGCTACAAATCCGATATTTAATAGGTTGATTATGTATCAGTTTTGTGTATGTCATGAACCTACCAATTTAAATATTCAAAACTGATGTAATATCTGCAACTTGGAAAATTTTTAATTCTTACAGAGAATAAAAAGGATCTGGCTCATCATTTTTTAAGCATCATAGACCTTTAAAATGAGTGTAAAAGAAACTAATTTTTACTTTAACAGACGCCAGACTTTAAATTAATATTTGTTTTGTATGCACAATTTTTTACAATATTGATAAAAAAATAGAGGCTTGCAGTATCAATAAAATGAACCATTAATGGCGATAAATGACTTTTTGTAGCACCCAATCTTCTTGGAAATTCAAGTTCTTAGAAAGAGGGAACAGGAAAATGAAAATGTCGTGCAGTTCGTCTATTAGATAAGGGGGGGGGGGAACTTCGATCAAATTTCGCGCAGTTCGTACACTACCGGGAGGATTTTGTGCTTCTCTTACTTATGCTGTAAAAATCCTTAGCAAAAATAAAGAGGGTAGATAAAAATTATATCATCATAAAATTTCATAAAGTTATTTTTGTTTTATTTACAATAAGAACCCCAACATTTCAAACAATGTAATTAATAAACATTAAATCATTCAGATTACTTTGCAGATGATGCTAAAAAACATGATGAATCAGCTCGGTCATCATCACATATTAAAGGACTAATGCTTTATCTATACATATATACTAAATTATCAGTCAATCGATCTCCTTTTTCTATTGCACTTTAAATGAATTTCTCAATTTAAACATACAGAAAAGTGATAATAATATTATAAAAAAAGGCGCTTAAAAATCGATTAATTTCCCAGTTTACGCAGTAATCTGAAATATGCTTACGTTAACAGTGCAGGAATACCTTGAAGTTTCTCTTTCGATTAAATAATTTTTTTTAAATTAATTATTTGAGAAGGTAAAATTTTTATGTTGAATTTTTTTATGTTGAAATATGTAAACTTTAATGTAGTAGATTTATATTTCATTTTGTACATATTCATTTAAAACTTTTATACATTTTGTTTTCATTTTATATTTTTACCTAATACCGCTATTATGTTACACCATAAAAATTTGCGCTGTCTTGGAATTTCATAATTTTATTTCAATTATTTTTTCACTGCTGGCTATGCGAGATAGTTCAAAAATAAAGAAAACAATGTGCTTAAAATGTTTAATTGGGTATGAGAGATTAATTTATAAGTAAGTTATCATTTGTCTACTGCAGTAGTTAAAGCAGATCGTTCGTAAATCTAATAACAAGCCTTTAAGTCCAGAAAGTGCATTTACGAATGCCCTTTAGCATTTATTTAGCAAACTGAATTAAATATCACTTATTTTTTAATTATAAAATATATTAAACAATATATATTTTATCAACTTTTCACTTGAACTGTTAATATAAAAGTAAGAGGAGTATTTGAAGATAATATTTGATTACATAACTTACTTTGTGCAGCGGTAAGTGGGTTTTATAAGCACCGGGACGAATCATCATTTTTTCAGAATCTTCAGAACCTAGCTGATCTAAAAACGGACTAGCAAGAAAGAAATCCTTCGGATGCTCCAGTGGCTTTCCTTTTCGCAAAATATTCAATACCAGATTCTGCATCCATGTAGTTCCACATTTCATGTATGTTGCAATAAAGATGTCTCCGTCCTTAGGTTGGAAACGCAAAGCCGATTTAAAACATTCCTGCGAAAAGAAGATTGGAATGTTTACACCATCGACATTTACAAAAAGTGGTTTTTTAGATGCCATTGTCATATTTCTGCTGCCATCTAATATGTAAACACTTTCTGCTTCCTGAAATATTTTTGATATATTAATAAATACAGCTACTTAAAGAATTCGAAATATGAATTGCTCTTGAAGTTAATGAACGACGGATCAGATTACTTTGCAGTATTTAGGAATAAAACAGCAGCATAGAGCCACAGAAGTATCGAATCGATTTTGAATAATTTTGAAAAGCGAAATTTATAATGCTTCTTTGTTCCTCATAAGTTTTTTCTATTTTAATTAATGTGGAAGGCTTTCGGTTTTATAAACTGTAAATTTATCTATTAGTAACTATTTTAAAAATTACGAAATAGCAGCCCAAACTTTCATTTTTACGTCTGTATGTTACATCTTCGGAATTTAGAAATGATCTGTAGCAAATCTTGGCCACATGTCGAAAGAGCTAATAGAAAACTTTTAATCAATGAAGGAAATTCTGTGTTATTGACAAAGGTGATAAATTAATATGATAACAGATCTGATTTATTGAACTTCCGCATGACAGATAAGTGTGAAACATGATTTGGGTTGAGAAAAAAGAAGGCTGGTCATTGAACTCTTTAAAAGTTTGAAATAAAAATTTATCAAACGTCTTACTATCCTCTTAGCATAAATTGTGCGCATCGGTGGTTTTAAGATTCAGTGGTAATCCAAGTTTGTCGAAAGTGTGGTGGTTCAGCAAAACATATCAAATCTCATATCAATAATCACCAATCAAATAAAATATAAATTGATTTAATTAAATATAATAATATCTCAATCTCAGAAGTCGCACATCATCCATCGAGTAACTTCCATCGAGTCACAGTACACACTCATTGGCGCTCTCAGCGCCCTCTAGCGTTAGGCGGGTCTTACCATTCTCCCCGCTTAAACTTCCCATGGAGTTTACATTTCAATTTCCAGATATTCAAATAAATTTAAAGTCACTAAAATTACACTAAACTAAATATTAAATTGGTAAACTATTAAATATAAAATAAAAAAGTTTTTCAAGTTCATTCAGTCTTTAAATGGTAGAGGAATAATTTTGTTGATGGCTCGCCGAAGAACACCTGTAGAGGTTTTAACTTCAACTACTCTGACCAGACCATCAGCACCAGGATACACTTGTTGGATGCGACCCAATGGCCAATGCAAAGGATTGGGGTTGGAGTCCTTCAGCAGTACTAGTTGACCAATCTGCATGTTTGGCTGCGAACTGCTCCATTTGGCACGATTCTGTAGTTGATTTAGATACTCGGAATGCCACCGCTTCCAAAATGTTAGCTTGGAGTCTCTGAACTAGTTCCCACCTGGAATGAAAAGAAAGAGAATCCGAAGCAATATGTGGTTCAGGAAAGGACAACATAGCATTTCCTGTTAAATAATGTCCCGGAGTTAAAGGCTGTAAGTCAGTCGGATCGGAAGAAAGCGGCGATAATGGACAGGAATTCAGAACTGCTTCTATCTGAGTAACTTAAGTAGTTAACTCTTCAAAATTCATGATAGCTGATTTCGCTACCCTTAACAAAATCCGTTTCACTGATTTTATGTTTGCTTCCCACATTCCGCCAAAGTGAGGAGAAGCTGGTGGGATAAATTTCCGTTGGATGCCTTCTTCTGCACTAAATCCTTGAATTGGGTTAGATTTGCAAATATCATTATATGCGTTAAGAATATTTCTCGCACTTTTGAAATTCGTGGCGTTATCGCTCTAGATAACGACTGGTTTGTATCTTCTGGCAATAAATCGTCGTAAACAGGCTAGAAAAGCTTCTGTTGTTAACTCAGAAACAGCTTCTAAATGCACTGCTTCAGTGAAAAAACAGATAAATAATGCAATATAAGACTTTAAAGTCACCTTTGACCTTTTCAAATTAGGTTTCGTGATTATAGGTCCTGCGAAATCTAATCCGACCTTCTCGAAATGTTTAGAAGGCACGACTCTGTCCCTAGGTAGATTACCCATCATCTGGTCTACCGTTTGATTCTTCGTTCTAAAGCAAGTCATGCACTTATTTATTACTCTTCTAACTCGATCTTGACCAGACGGTATCCAATATGACTGTCTTATTAAAGATAATATAGTCTGTACGCCAGAATGTAAGGATTTCCTATGATAATATTCAATAACTAAATTAGTGAAATGATGAGCCTTTGGCAAGACTATCTGATGTTTCTGAAATTCAGAAAACTCAGAATACTCCAATCTTCCTCCTAGTCTTCCTCTCAGTACCTCATTTTTGTCAAGAAATGTGTTCAGAGATGATATTTTACTATTTTTTTTGGAATAGATTGTCCGTTTTTCAAGCACTTTATTTCCCTTTAAAATTCAGTTAACTGTACGAGTTTTACTAAAACTTCAGTAGCATGTCTTAACTCAGAAGCACATATGAAGCGTGTTCTCAACTCTGGGTTTGCTTTACAGTTATTTATAAATCTCAAACATAAAGCAGTTATCCTAATTAATTTACTGAATGAGGAGTATCTTGTGATCAAATCGTTTTCATTTTGGCTATTTTCAACAGTTGCATTTACAACAACTGACTTCTTAAACTCTAACTTATCGCCATCTACTTCGGTTTCTTCCATTGATTTTAACGAGGATGGCCATGCTGTATTATTCATTGTCAACCATGTCAATTATTCATTGTCAGGGTCCATGCCACCAGAGCTGATTATTCTTGAGCTCGCTTAAGGATAAACCCCTAGAAATCAAATCGGTGGGATTATTCTTTCCTATACAATGATGCCATTCTTCTGGATTGCTGTATTTTCATATTTCTTTTATTCTATTCTTCACGAACACCTTATGTCTATTTGGATCACTTTTGATCCAGTAATAAGCTATTGAGGAATCCGTCCAAGAATATCGAGTAACTGGAAAACTTAGTGCAGTTACAATTTTATTACTCAATCTTGAAGACAAAAGTGCACCCATGAGTTGCAATTTAGGAATCGAAAGGGTTTTTAACAGAGCTACCCTGCTCTTTGATGTTACAAACCTACAAATGATATTTCCACTCTGTAAGTCTATGCGTAAGTACGCAACAGTACCATAAGCTTTCTTAGATGCATCTGAAAAACAGTGTAATTGAATAGTGATTGCATGACTGCGCAAAGAATTTTGAAAATAATATCGGGGAATAATTATTTCCTTTACATCGTGGATCTCATCGCACCATTTATTCCAAGCAATTTCTAACTGTTTGGGCAATTTTTCATCCCAGTCTAATCCTAAAGACCAAATTTCTTGCATCAAGTACTTAACTCTAATAGTATATGGTCTTATAGAACCTACTGGATCGAAAAGTCGACCTATCGCTTGTAGTAAGTGTCTTTTTGTGTTAGTTCTTTTTAAAAGAAATGTTTCCAGGTATCGAAATATATAAATATGGTATCGAAATAAAACGTGTCAGTTTGTTCATCCCAACCAATTCCCAATGCTTTTGAAGCTATCAATTTTGTATCTAGAGACTCTACCCTGATGATTTTCACCCTGATCTACATTGAAGTTTAAATTCTTTAATTCTTTACTTAGCTCAGGAGAATTGGTTCTCCACTTTCGAAGGTGCATGCTTGCCTCTTTTAGAATGCCTACACTCTCTTTACAAGTCTTTAGAGCCTGTTGAACAGTGATTTGCCCACAAATAAAATCGTCGACGTACAATGACTCATTAAGATGCTTAGAAGTCAGAGGAAATATATCTACGTACCTTTTCAAGTGATGTTTGATTGTGGCTGCAAGGAGGAACGGGCTAGATCTCACCCCAAATAACACCCTTGTCATCCGAAAAATTTCCAATTTCTTGTTTTCATCATCAGTTCCTGGATCTTATTCCCAGAAGAATCTTAGTGTAGTTTCGTTCACTTTCATCTATTTCAATCTGGAGAAAAGCCATCTTAATATCTGCAACAAATGCTATGTAATGTATTCGTTCTAAATCTGATCAACAGAAGAAATAGGTTAGGCATAAAATTAAGTTCCGTGTATAAGCAATCGTTCAAAGATAATTGACCTTTTGCATGCACCGAAGCATCAAACACAAAGCGTAATTTGCTTGTAGTCTTATCCGTACGTATTACAGCTCGATGAGGTAAATAAAATATATTTTGCCGTAAATTTACTTCATCAACTGGGACAGGTTCAATAATATTCTCCGAAAGATAATTCTTTAGAACAGTGTTATATTCACAAAATAAGGACGGTTCATTTTTAAAAGATGATTTCAATCTCAAAAATCTTTTCATTGCTATCTGCTAGTTATTTTCTAATAATGTCTTCATATTTGGTTTCCAGGGCAATTTCACTTTGTATCGCTTATTTTGATATGTAATTCCGGATTCAAATTCACTCATTATTTCTTTCTCAGTGGGTTCTATTTCAGCTACTTCTGCCTCGATACCCAAATTCTCTAAATCCCAAAATTATTTGAGTTGATCGGAAATATTGGATTCGTTTACCATAACACTCATTGCAAACGTTTCATTTAAGTTCGTGTTTTGGCCTTGCAAACACCACCCAAATATTGTTTCAACTGCAACGAGGGTTTTGCTTAGGCGTGTAATTCGACCAGTGACAATATCATAATAGTAATCTGCACCTATTAGTATTGATATTTCTTTATTGTTAAATTCATAACAGTCCGCTAATTGTACATTTTTTAAACGTCTAAATTGTTTCTCAATATTTTTATCGGGAGTCGGTAAATGTGTGCCCGAAATATGGCCTGTCTCCAGTGCTTCAATTTCTATGCATAAATTTGGATCATCTCTATTCTTTAATTTTAACTACATTAAATGAATTTGTTTTCGTTTCCTTAGCACCAAATGTAAAGGCCAACTGGAAAGTTAAATCTTTTGGAAATAGCTGATAAAACAAAGGAGCGGTGGGTGTGAACCATTGTCCAGGAAAATTCTAACAATTTCCTGCTCTTTTCCATTATCAATTAAGTTTGAACATATTTGTAACATAGTATTCTTTTTCGCCGATACGATATTCGCTGATACGACATTATCGGTTTCTCCTTTTGGAGAAATAATGTGTGGATTATTTTGCTTTCGAAAACAAATTGAAACATGGTGAGGTTTGCTGCAGATTGGACACAAATCCTTTTTGAAACATTCTTTCACGCAATGGTTTGGGGTCAAACAACGAAAACATTGACCTCGTTGCTTCAATATATCTCTCCGTTCATTTGCATTAAATGTAGAGCATGATTCTGATTTATGACCTTTGCTACAAAATAAACACATTACATTTTCGACTGACGCCAGAAATTCATGCGTGCGGAAGGAAGGGGAAAGAATTCTCCCTCTTATACGGAGGTCTTGAAAAGTTATGTCTAACGGAAGTAGAATATTTATTTTTTATTTTC